CTAAACACCTTGCCGAAGCACTAGCAGACCGCTGGAGCCGGCCCCTCGCCTCAATAATGGGATGGTTACGCGCAAGAATCCAGTGTATGTGTATTCGTGGCACCCGCCACAGATGGCAGCGCTCTGGATGGAGGATGGAGCCGCACTCCCCAACGGCTTATCATGATCCCAACAGTTAAAATTGCTAATATTTTCTTAAATATATGTGTGTTAATTTAGTAATTTATATTTATAAACAAGTATGTAATCAATTTATGTGACAATAAATAAAATGTTCATACTTTCGCAGTGGTCGGTCATTGGATGGGTGACCAAAAATTTACTATCTCGAGCTCCTCCGTGCTTCGGTAGGCACGTTAAGAAGTTGGTCCCGGCTGCATCTGCAATCGTTAGCACCCACCAATCCGCACTGGGCTCGCGTGGTGGGTCATGGCCCAATCTCCCTATTCCATCCCTAGGGAAGGCCTGTGCCCCAGCAATGGGGACATTAAAAGGCTGATGATGATGATACACGTAGCTACTTAAAATCTTGCTTACATTGCATTATTATGAAGAGGTCTTGTCCGAGTGTGACTGTTTAGGACAACTTCTGAAATAGAAATCGACCGGTCTTCCACTTAGTATTTTTAAGGATTAAGGCTTTTTAAATAATTTTGCAAATACGTAATAAAAATGGTATTGAAAAATATTGTGTAAAAGTGTTTTAATAATAATTCTTAAAATAGACTGTCCATCAACCCCAAAATGCTTACCTGGAAACATTTGCCCGAACTCTGACCCACGTGACAATAGTCAAGAAAGGGTCAGTCAGCAGTGGTCAGAACCGGTATTGACCGCCGCGGAGCGCGCCAAACCGGTTCGCGCTGGAAACAGCTGGCTGGCAATGCGAATAAAAAGATTATTTTGAATTTTGTGCATTATTGTTTTATGCTTTGAAAAGTAATAGCTTAATACATTATTATTTTGGAAATGCCCTGGTTATAAACAATTAATTTAAAGTGTTTGTAAAGAAATGTTACTTCAATTGATTCCGCAAAAGAAACAGCTATCCGTTTGTCATGTTGACATAATCTACACCTCCGAGATAAGATAGGCCCGCTGGCCTATGTTGTCACCATCTATGACCACAATTCCAATGCGTACAAAGAAATTTGGTGACCCATTTCTTTGTCGCACTATCCGTAAATGGAATGCTCTACCCGCTCACGTGTTCCCTCCCTCTTACAACCTGGGATCCTTTAAAAGAGGCGTGAAGAAGAATGGAGAAGAAGTGAGGATGGCTGGTGTGGCAGGTAGAACTGCTGTATCAGCTATCTTCGCAATTGGACTTCACCGTTACTTAACATCAGGTGGGGTGGAGTCATTTGTTGGACCTATCTATAAAAAAAAAGAATATGAAATAATTGAAAACGATAAACCCGTTTTGGATGTATGACTCTATAAGCCTTTTTGAATGGCAGAGCTTCAAAGATGCAATAGAAAAAAAAACATTATTAAACTAACGTTTCTACGTTTGGCACTACATATTGTAATAGTTGTATGGTTGACATGTTTATTCTATACACACTTTTACATATTTCCTACTACATATTTGGGTAAGTTAACATGTAGGACCTTTTATGTTTTATTTAAAGTTGTTTTTGTATCTAGAAAAACATTATTTGTTTCTTAGGTTTTCACACACATCACTCATTAAATAAAACTAGTTTTTACGGGTTAATGCAAAAAGGCTGCGAAACGTCAATAAATAAATAAAGTTTCGTGCATTGACCCGTAAAAACTAGTTTTATTTAGAAAAACATTGTTCAACGGAACATTAGGTTTTATAAAATATTATATCATCTAAGGTTGTTGTTCATAACTGACCATGAGTTATTATAACAATTTCAAAATACCAACAAAGGATCATGCGACTAGGAGACATATGGGCAACAGAGTTTTTAACTGACTTACAAAAGAAGGAGGTTATCAATTCATCATTATATTTGTCAAATTTTGATGATTCTTCTTTTGTTTGGAAGAGTTTGTTAGCGAAATGGTCTCGTATTAATTTGGTGAAGATCTGATAAATATATTCGGAGATAAACAACAGAATTCCTCCAACACGAACAGTGCACATATCGTGTTTGGTTATTTTATGAAATATGAGGGAGAAATCGCAGATCAGAAAATCTATATTTAGTAAGTTGATTGTCGTCTGGCTTATAAAAAAAGAAAAATAAAACCTTTTACAAAAAATAAAAACCGGATTCGTATAAACAAAACCATTTAAAAATAATAAATAATTCATATTCTTTACGTATATCTAACGTTTAAAGTCAAATTAACAGTTGGAGTCGTAGTAAAACGAACTCAGATCTAATAATAAGCGTGTCATGGCATTTTTAATGTTTAAGTAGGTACTCTAAAACATTAAAAATTATGTTACACTATAGCATCACATTTTAATATTTTTTTTTAAAAACTTCAGCTATATACTCGTATAAAACTCACCAAAACTTTCCCTATTAAAAATATTAAAGCATAGACAGGTCGACGCTTTAATGTTAATGCAATGTAAAATAAAATACGAGGCGTGGGCATTCACTGCCATATGCCGCGGACGGAAGGGTTAAAAAGGCTCTTTAGTCACGCCTTATCTATTGATTTTAGTTTATTGAAAACGGTTAAGTTGTGGTCAGGGCGTATTGTGTTAAATTGACGGTGCTGACAGGGCTACCGGTTGCGTCGGTGAGAAGTCACAAAAAATGCGGTATGAATGTTCGCCGTTCAATTTACCATATGGAACGGTTGACCCGAACGGTGTTTTATTTAACTTTTTAAAGAAAATAAAAAGTGAAATATAGCTTAGTGAGTAATATGGTATTGGTACGATTGTTTTTAATATTAACTTTTTTGGAACTTATTAAATATACTCATCAATAGAGTTTAATAATAATAAACATTTATTTCGGACAAGGATACATCCATATTATGGTTAGTTACATGTTTAAGCAACTTATTTTATTTTTATTTTGACCGAATAATAATAACAAATTTGATTGATCAGCAACTAAAACTTTGAGTTAATAATTCATTTCAAAACGATAGTTAAGAGTTTTAGAATATCAACTGATAAAACTAGCAGTTTGCGTAAATGACGCATGTTGCTTATGGTGTAAGATCCCAAGACCGCCAGACCTTAGTTATTTTCTCATGGATAAAATATTAGTGTGTACAATGAACGTATACATACTCGCTATCTTGTGGCGGGGGGCAACTTTCAGGGATCAGGTAGCACAGGCATGTAAAAATTTAACTCACTTTACTTACAGTCAGGGGCATTGGCGTTCCTAGGGTTATGTTTTAGGGGGGGAGGGGGCTGGCCCTTTTCATGCCATGACCGATACGATGACGCAGAGTCTACACTCAATGTATGTCAGTGAGTAGGAGCGATTAGTATCATATACATATAACTCATAAGTAACTTTACACTTAATATGAATAGTCCAGTAAAATATATACTTTAGAGTATACGTCAAGTCCAAATTATTGCAGAAAATGTGATTATTATTAAATTAGATTTTAATGCTATTTGTTTTATTAACTGCGGGTTAGTATTTGTTTCAATGTTAAAATTCAACAAATTTCATACTTTACAATAAAATTATCTAGTAAAAATCTAACGTAAGAAATATAAACTCCTTAACATAGTTATTACAACCTCGACATAAAGTAAAAATTTATAGACACCATTTCCCGTCATTGCTCACATGACCTTGTGATTATAATACACAGATACGGACTGCCACGCTTTTCCTTTCAATATTTTTTTTTCTCTTTTTTTTATTTTCCGAAACATAAAATAATAATTTTCAATGCTAGCGTAATGGGCCATAATATTTTTTTTAAAGGTAGGGTGTGTAAGGTATGGTTAACGCAGTTGGGTAATGGATGAGGTTTTTTTTAAAGTAATAATTTGAGAAAGGTGATAAGGAGGTAGAGCTAGCAATCCATGTGGTGTTTTTCAATTGTAGAAAGGATGTAGAAATGGATGTGTATTTTTTTTTCAAAAGGACAGCAATCGAAATTTTGTAATCTGTTTTATATGACGGCTACAAAAATGTATTAGTTACCATTTAAGATTGTTTTACGATTCTTTAATCATAAGCGCTAATTAATTTGCACAGTACAAGCTCTGCTATGTTTGGGACTTAAAAATTTAGCATAAAAATAAACAATATCGGAAAATAACAATGGTCCCTTCAATTCGGTTCTGCAAAATCAGACACACGAATAGTCACCATCACGCAAACACTCGATAAAATTTCAATCAAATGAAACTTGTTGGTTTTTATCGATTGTTTTATAAATTCCGTCGTGTATAGACTGGTACCGAACCAACTCGCTATAAAACATGACGGGCGATGTATTTTTCAACGCTGTTTATTACTTCTTGGGAAATGATTTAAAATTGGATTGAATTAAAAAATACATACATAAACTGTTTTTGATACTAACTGAAAAATAAGAAATACTGAATGTTAAAATATGTGTTAGTATTTAAGAATAAAAATAGAATAAAATATCAGATTATGTAGGTATATAATTTAATTTATTTTCCATGTAAATCATAACAAAACACCGAAATATCTATGCAAATTGCCTTAAATTCATAAGTTTAAAATATCACACAACCCATTTCGTTTTTTCATTATTCATTGTACCAAGAAATACAACCGCGGCGGACGTGACAATATGCATAAAAATGCGTCAAGCTAAAAAGCAGCTGCTATTCAAATCCGACAAAACCCCAAAAGGATAAGGAAGGGTCAGTTAGAACCAGATTGACCAGTCCCATTCAAAAAATAGACAATAACGGTTCTAGAATTGACCCTTGGGGGACACCGGTCATTTTAAAAACCGGTATTAGTCAAAAGGGTTGATTGTTAAAAGTATTATTATTGTTGTAATTTTTTTGAAAAGGTGCAAGAAGTGGTCAGTTCGCGATTAGAATGCGTTAGTATTTGATGTCGTACCGTGTTGGAAGCTTGTGCCAAATCTAGAGTTCAAAAGTGAATTGAATGTGTAAAATAGTTAAAAACTGCAAACATTTTCATCGCGGTGAGATCAACGAAAGATATAACTGTCAACGTATTGTGGTGATATAAGACTGTCTATCATTTATTAGTATTATTTAACGTTTTACTTATTATACTAAGCAAATTCTTTTTAAGAAACTGGAATATTTTCATTGAATGAAAATTGTTTCTGGCCATGTATAGAAAGGAAGGAAACCCTTTTCCAGCATAAAATAAATTCACATAAGGTTCATTCCCACGCTTTAAAAGAAGGGATAACACTTAAAACGGTAGCGAAAATTAAAAAGGCCCTTTTTTCTCCTTCGTGTCACGAAAAAGTCCGCAATTATCACCTCCCCGTTTTGCTCGGCAAATAGAATTAGGAGTGAATTAAATTAGCCTGGGCATTAACAAGGATAATACTCTTTCTCCTTTTCCGGGGTTTTTTTTCAATAGCACTTTTTCCTTTTTTTGCTGCTGACGGGGGTTTACCCGCCAATTTCCAAAGACAAACGTTTTTCATTTTCTCTTTTAAACGCCGCTTTCATTTCATCTCAATAAGGGTTGGCATGATATAAATAGATGCATTTACTTCACAGTTTAAATCTTTTCCCACTTTAGTATTCGATTCGCAATTATTTTCACATTGACTGGCAATATAATGACTTCTTAAATTACTATATGATTACATGTTTCTCTTCTCTGGTAATTATAAGCGTTATTTGTCTTAAACGTTTTTGGGGTATTACGACAGAGATGTATAGAAACTTGAACGAACTATGTCATCTACGAGACTTTTCAAATTCTTTTTACAGTTTTCGGTTTTAAGCAAATTATTAAGGTTAGTCTTCATTAAGATGAAGTGTTAAGTGAAACATAAAATTGTATATGCAATAATTACACTGAATTATGGACTGTCCTAATTAAATTAGCTGATTTAGAGAAGATTAGCAGGGCCCCTGCCCAAGGATGACACGCAAAGTCGTGACGCGTTCCACATTTTTGTGAAAACTTATATTTATTTATTGTAACTAGGTGTACAGTGGTGATTGTAGTGCACGAATAAACCTTTCTGGTTTTTGTTTGCACTATATGTATTATAACTGTAATATTGCTTGATTAAATAAATAAAAAAATATAATTTGTCCTTGTGACAATAATAATTAGTAAAAAAAAACATATTAATTTTATTAAAACATCGAAGGTTATTATGGTTCATTTCTATGTACTGAAGTTTTGTTTTCTACAATGTTAATGTAAGTAGATGTAAGGCAAATCATATCTAGAAGGATACTGCTTCTATGTAAAGGGCTTAAGAAAAGGGCCCTTTAAAATGTCGAAAGAAGGCGAATTTCCCGGAGGGTCCCTCCCCTTAATTATATCTTTTAATGTAATGACTGAGTGCATTTTTACCCCTTGGTAGGGGGAGGGTTACGGATTAATTATGAATACTCCATTCGCAAGTTTTTCAAAATGTCTGCCAATGGAAGTTGATCGGTGGAGGCCGTGCCTACATCTTGTGTTATTATTTCAGTTTCTACTGTATCAAGTTTAAATGGAAAAGTTGTATTCGTTTCGAGCGATTCGATAAGATTGCTTCGTTGAAAACTACTTAGAATCGTAGTGTTTGAGGTAGGTGTAGGTATTATTCCTTTGTTGTACGACTGACCCCTGAATTCTATAAGAATCTGTTTGACTTATTTTAGTGTCATTTTGTATACTACTGCTAGATCTAAAGATCTTTTTAAACTTCCGTCAACATAATAAAATTACTTCATAAAAACAAGCCTTTTGTTTGATATCTTTGATAGGGCTTTTAAACGTTCATGATGAAATATGTACTTGTTAAAAGTACGAAACTATTTGTTTTAAAAAAAAACAATTTTGAAATTTAATTTATAGAAAACAAAAGTTTTGCAGTTTTCAGTAGATTTAAGTGTAAAAGATCTTTCTACATATTAAAAAGCTATTTTTTTATGTTAAAGTGGCAAACAAGCATATGGTCCGCCTGATATTAAGCGGCCGCCACAGCATACGGTGTTTATCATACCATAACTATCGCCCATGTCGTTGCCTATCCTGACCCAAACCCATACTACAGTAAATAAATCTAGAAGAGGTGCGGGTTCGAGTCCCGTCTGCTGTCTGGTCCGCGTGGAATTTTTTCTAGTTATATTTTCTTTAAATCTAGAAGCTTATAAAGTTGTATACCAGGCCACAAGTTTTGCGAAAAACAAGTTTTTATTTATAAGAAACTGGACACTTGTAATTATTTTGAAAACTTCGATTATTTAAAAGTAAAAATATCACTGTTCGATTATCAAATTTCCCTCCGTATTTTTTCGAGAGCCAATTAAATTTTTCTTGCCTCATTACAAAAAGCTATGCTTTGCTTTGAATTTTTAAGATTTTAAAAGAGGTGTCTGCGGAGGACTGGAAAAAATTATTTGAAAATTGGTTCAGGCGCATAAAACTTTTAAAAGATTTATTAAAAATATTGTTTTCATAGAAGTCAAAACTTTCTGAGTGTCCCACGTATATACTGTGCCCATTCCCTGTGGAATTCCGGATACTTACCCACCGGCAGAAATAGAACACTATCAAAAGGTAGTGATGTTTTACTATGTTCCTCTATAAGATGGAAGTTACTTCCTCAGAATCATTTCCAGGAAATCCGCTACGCCTACCTCTCTTCAATTATAGAGTGTTATAATATATTATAGACGAAAGTGTTTGGGTTTGAACTATTATGATCGTTCTAATGATCTTTTCTATCTTATATTAATCTCGCTTATATTTTACTAGCGGCGCGCCCTCGCTTCGCTTCGGTGTAGAGCTGAAGTGTAGACTACAGTTTTTGTTCTCAGGCTTGTATTATACACAATGACATTCATCTATGATTCTTCTTATACCTGCATGCAAAGTCTCAGCCCGATCGGTTTAAAATTGACAGTTGCATACAAACTTTCATTCCCTATTTTATACCCTTGGGGGTAGAATTGATCAAAATCCTTTCTTAGAGGATGCCTAGGTCATAACATCTACCTGCATGCCAAATTTCACCCCGATCCGTCCAGTGGTTTGGGCTGTGCGTTGATAGATCACTATGTCAATCAGTCACCTTTGAGTTATATATATATATATATATATATATATATATATATATATATATATTATTTATTTATTGAAAATGAAAAGACATAAAGTCTTAGTCAATGTGGTAACTATTAAAATGTTGATGACGTCTTATTGCTATTTTTCTCCAAATATAAAAAAAAACTTATCAAATACAAAAGATAAAAAAACCTGGACTGTTCAAAAAACCTTGCGACTTGGAAACGGACTAATACAGCAGTTTTAACATACTTGTATGCCTTTATCTCTAAGTTCTATGTTTTTTGTTTGTTGTATGGCATTGGCAATTCTGAAACGTGCAAATTGATCAGGTTTAAGTACTCATTTCAATGAGTCGCACACTTTTGTGCCTCGTTTATTTTCGGAATCCAACACTTGTTCATTGGAATGTAATACGAGACCGTATATATCTAGACGAGGTGAAATTAAAGAGCCACGTAGTACTCCACCCCCGCGGCTGTCAATTTAAAACAGGGGTTCTTTCGTTTCTTCTTCTTTCAACCACCCCGTAACACCCCCCTTTTTAAAAAAACCAACCTCACTTGACCTCTCACTCCCTAAAATTGGAGCAGGGTCCCAACGGGAAGTTTCTTGCGCGGAGCTCAACCTTAGATGGTCCCTTTTCTTTTAGGGACTTACCCTAAAAATATTCCCTTCTTAATTCTAATTGCGTCGTTTCGTTTTATTATTACTTTTTAGATGGTGTTTACATAAATTTATGTTCAGGTGGGATATAAACGAGTGTGCTTATAAATTTTCGTAAGGAATTAATTTGTCGATTTTGTTTATGTACACTTTAGTTGAATAAAATTTAGAATCGGTTGGTTGAAGGTTGGTTTTGATAGCTGTTTTAAGGTGCGGAATAGATTTTCGATTGCGACAGTTTAGGGTGCCGTACCCAAAGGGTTAAAAACGGAATAATATACTTTCGCTGTCTGTTTATCAAAGAGTTCCATCTCTTGTACGCCACTTGTTAGACACCTGAAATTCTTATTTGTTAGGTGTTACTGCGATGTCACAATAAATAATAAAACATCGACAAGTCTTTTTGTGAATTTGAATAGTGTTTTTTTTTTCATCTTACTAGCTAGCTCTAGATAGTTTTGAATATTTTTTTTGTTAATGGCTTCGCACGGCTTGTGCATTTAGCCAATGTCAAGTGTTAAAATGTTAACAAATTCTATAGCAGTCGTGGTCAAAGTAATAAATGAAGTCAAAGTAAGTGGCAGTCAAGTCAAACCCCCTTTCCCTATGTTTCAGTAAATGTGTGGGGATTTACTGGAACCTCCCCGTGGACTTCTTGAGGGAAAGTTGAAAGACACTTCCCACTATTTTGTTTCACTTGCCAACACTTGTGCATGTTCCCGAACACTTAGTGGTTAATAATCCACCATTATTAGACACTAACATCGGCCACAACACAATTTTTAACAAGAAAAACAAAACTGCTAAAGTGACGCTTCCCGATCCCGCCAAAATGTACGTTTTGTATATTGTATGTATGGTAACGAAACCCTTCGTTTACGAGTCCCACTTGCACTTAGATGGTTCATAATTTACAAACACGCAAGTCCCAACCTTACTGCATCGGTAGGATGACGTTAGAATAGAATATTACGTGGATAGAGTAACTGTAAAATATATCATCATCAGCCTATTAATCTCTCCACTGCTGGGGCACAGGCCTTCCCTATGGATGGAATAGGGAGATTGGGCCATGACCCACCGCGGTGCGGATTGGTGGGTGCTAACGACTGCAAATGCAGCCGGGACCAACGGCTTAACGTGCCTTCCGAAGCACGGAGAAGCTCGAGATAGTAAATTTTTGGTCACCCATCCAATGACCGACCACTGCGAAAGTTGCTTAACTTCAACGATCGCAGCCGGACGCGCTAGCCACCTGCGCCATCGAGCTCCTCATAAAAAATAGAAAAATAGTAAAATAT